TCAATTAAACTGCCTAACAGCTTCTCAAAAGCTGAAAATTTCTGTCAAAGGGTTCTCTTCTCATAAGAAATAGTGCACCTTGACATGGTCAAAGATCACTGTTTATAACAAACTCAGAAAGGGCACATCAACTTCTCTCATATTTGTCAAGTATAAACAAAAAAAAAAAAAAAGAGAAAAGGATCCAAGCCCTGCTTTTTTAATCTACTAGGAAAAATAACATACAATTCTCGAAGTGTTTTTGCAGGCCACTTATGTAAAATATCTGTTTTTATTTCCTACAGGGCACTCTTTTGAATAAACTTGGATTATGTTAAGGTATTTCCAATCATGGTGAGATCTAACAGAGGTATAGGTACACTTGGTATATGTTCACCACTGCAGAGGAGAAAAAGTTAAGTGTGGCAGGAGTAACTCTGCAGGGCAGTTTCTTATCCCACTGATGTCCAGGGCAGCTGTGTTATAGGCTTCTCTCAAGCTACAGCTGCTCCCTAGAGAGTCACTCTTACATCCTGAAATCAATGATTGATTACTCCTGACCTATTTGTGGAATGTGACTAGATGGGAAGGAACACTGAGTGTAAAAGAATAATAAAGACACACAGAAATTCCCTAGTTTCACTCTGAAAAACATGAAAAATTATTATTTTTCAGTGTCCCCCTTAATCCCCACTCCTGAATGTAGTTCTGCAAGTTCATAGTTCTGTCCTTTCCTAGCAGCCCTGATGAGTTTGGCACATTCACTGCCTCCTGCAGCAACCATCACCCCTGGGAAACCCAAGATGTCATTAGGCTTATACACTTTCTTACTTTTCAGCCAAATTCAAAGAAATTGTTCCAGTTTTTGTCCCTTGGCATTAGATAATCCCCAAACTAAAGTTTTTCCTGAATCACCTTTTTTCCTCAAAGAGGCCTTTGAGCTTCTGGTTGTTTACAGAGCTGCTCTAGAACATCCACACAGCTTCCTCCATTCTGCATTATCAGTTTACATGATACTAGAGAGGCCATCTCCAAGGAAGAACAGGAAAAGTCTCACTTCATGGATTGAGTGTTTCTTGCTATAAGCCCTAAGACTGGCAGTAAAATCACTGATTACTGGAAGCTGAAAGACCAGTAGCCTTTTTCACCTGGAAAACCAGCCAGCATAATCAGCATCAAGAGATTTCAAGTGGTGATCATTTAGCCCATAAGCAAAGGCTATATCAAATTGAAATTCCTCCTGGCCATTAGATACTTAAAAAGTTGTTAATTTATGCATAAACTTCTTCAGCAGAATTCCACAGTTCCTGAATACATAACCATTTAAACTTGCCTCGCAGAAGAAATGGTGCTGCAGTTACTGATCTCAAAGATCACACTGTGGTCTTTCCTTGTTTCTCTAGACCCCTTTCCATCAATTCCATTTTATAACATATTAGAACAGATTGCAATTTTGGTTACAGTCTAAATAAACTGGATCTGAGATTCAGTGGGGCCAAAGTCCAGGGTGATTTGATCTCGGGCTTTGATCCAGGTGCATCATGCTGATGAGCACAGAAAATGTTATCAGTCAGCTAGTTACAACAAGTCCTTGGCCCACAGATGGAAGCAGAAGATGAGGAGGAGGAAAAAGGATATACCGTGTGCTAATTGGTAGGTGACAGCATGCTGTGTGTGCAGCCTGGGGAAACAGAGACCCATTCAATCTGCCTCACAACAGCTCCAGCAACTTCCCTGGCCCACGCATCTTCCGTCTGCAGCACCCGCCGCGTTTCACAGCCTCCAGTCATCAGCCTTGGCGCCAGCACATGAATCACAGCTCCTGTGGGGGTCCCCACTGCAGCAACTCCTTATCATCCTCTGCAGATAGACTGCACTTGCCAATCCCAGATCCCAAAACACTGCATTAATATGAACATGACCTGGGATTTAATGTCTTGCTTGGAGCCATGGGAAATCAGCTGACATTAAGACAAGAGACCCCATCTCCTCACTCTCCTAAAGCTTTCTAATCCCTAGGTCACATCACCTGCCTTCATTTTGTGCTTAGCCATCAATGGGGAACACTTGTGACAGACAGAAGAGCTTTTCCACATTCCAAAAAGGCAGCAGATAATTAATGACCACATTTATTTTTAGATTCTCATAAGAGCCACATAGTAGCACTTCTCCAGTATGTGGTTAGTCAAGTGATTTCTGTTTTCTGGCCTACTAGATGCTTACTGCTCTACAATATATACTTTCACTCTGGATTTAACCAAGCAGAGGGATAGAACCATGAGAGCAGTGGTTATCAACACATTATCACTTTGGTATCCCAAGCCATCAGGGATGCCCCTCTCAACGCAAATCAGTCTTCAAAAGTCCTATTGTCTACAGCTTAGCAGTTTCCTAACTCAGTCTGAGAAGCCTGCTAAATGGGACAGCCCATATACCCCAGCTCTAGAATAGAAGAACCAGAAAACCCCCTTTTCCCCCTATAAGGGTAAGAGAAGGAGAGCATTGCAGGACAGGCCATGGTACCCATAGTACTAAAAATAAAGTAAGGAGGAAAGGTTTAGAAATACCCAGTTTCAGTCAGTGCCCAAATACATCCAACATGCTTATGGCAATGAAGAAGTAGGTCTAGGGTCATGTTAGGAAAACATCTTGCACCTCTAAAAGTGAAAATTACATAGAATAAAGATTACAAACACCAGACATAGTCTTCTAATTAGCAGGTAGAGCCAAAGTATTAAAGGAAATGTAAGGTCTAACTGAAAAAACAGCCTCTAATCATAATCCAAATTCATCCATCACTACAGAAACACAGAAAACCAATGTTCCTACCAGATAGCTTAAGCTGGATGCAAGGCCCAAGCTGGTATTTTTTATTTAAGAAGAAAAACTTAGAAGTTAGCATTTAGTGTTGAACTTGGCTTGAATGTTTTAATTTTACTCATAAACATGATAATTATTTATATAGCTCACATTATGTAATATTTTTCCTAGAGAGGAAATCAAGTTTTCATGGGAAATGACTTAGCAGGATGAAGTGTTCTATGCTTCCCATGAGGTTAAAAGTTCAGTCAACTTTATCCCTTGTCATGTTTACTGTACACACCTTTTAACTTCCTGGTAAAACTGCAAAATTCTATGTGTAAACAGCACTAAAACAGACAAGAATTACTAAAAATACAGAGATAAAAAGAGTTCTAGCAAATAGTCAGAAAGGCAGGAGTGTAAGAAGCGCCTCTGCTGATGTTCTTCCTGCTTATGCACAGTATCAGGATGCTTGCTAAGTTTGCTGGGCAAGGGACCATCAGTTAGCTATTCTTCACTGTGCTGGAACCCAGCTGAAACAGATTCGTGGGGAGATAGCTGCAGGAGGCTGTGGGCTCAGAACTGAGACAGCAGTTCAGATCCCGCTTATATCCTTGCTTACAGGTGTGCGAGTTTGAGTTCATGCCACTGTGACCTCAAAGATTTACAATCGCTTATAAGCTGCTGGTTTTACCAGCAGCTAAAGGTCCAAAATATCTTAGCTATTGCTGTAGATGCACATTGAGAAGTACAACCCCTGTAAAGAACCAGAGAACCTCTTCCAGTACTGGAGATATGACTTAATAGCCAGCATTCAATATCCAAGATGTGATAGATCTTGGAAGAGGAGAAAACTGCCAATCTCAGATGCTTTTTGTCAGTATAACTCATCAATACAGGGTGATACTGCAGGGCAGGTACACTGCAAGGGAGTTATTTACCCTTTTTTGGCACTCACAGAAGGAACTGCTTGGTGGATGGAGCTGCAAGCAGTCCAGGGTCAGGACATGTCCATTATTCAGATGCAATTATGCTCCAATTATCTATTTATATTTTATAGATGCTATTTAAGAGTGTCTATCTATGTCAATAAACGTTTGTCCTTTCCTCCTCTTCATTACTGTCTGCAGAACTGCACACTTGCCTCCCTCCTGGGGAGGGGTGAAGGGTGAGCTAAGCAAACAGTACAATTAAAAATGATGGGTGCTAAAATGTCATGTAATGCAAAGTGTAATGAAGACATTCCCTTGTGCCAACCTGCGGGTCTGCCAGCGCAGGCGAGAGATCTTTGTCTCTCTGGCAGAGAGCGGTGTGTCGTTTCTCGCCCTGCTCCCCATGTCTCACCGGGATGCCTCCCCGGGAGGGACGCAGGGCACAGCAGGTGGCCGAGCACGCCGCCGCCCTCAGGACCGGCGCTCCCGCTATTTCTTCCAGCGCAGAAGAAACCCCGCTGAATCAGGCTCGGCTCCCGATGCGAGCCTTGCCGAGCCGGAGCATCTGTTGAGCGCACGGCGCGGAGGCAGGCGCAGCCCGGCCGGGGCTGAGCGCGGCTCGCTGGAAGCGGCGGCACATAGATCGCACTGATCACACTGATCGCATTGATCACACGGCCGCGCGGCCAATTAGCGCCGGCAGCCGGGGCCAGCCCTCGTGCCTGCGCGCTGCCCATATATCGGCGCTAATTACAGAGACACTTCATGCCTACTTTGGTTGGGAATTAATTCGAGGCCGGATAAATAATGCATTAGGGTTTATCCAGCCCCGCGTGGAGCGGCGCCCCGAGGCAGGGCTGGAGCGGCGAGCGGCGGGGATGCGCGGGGCGGCGGCCGGGGCCGGGCGCTGAGGCTGCGGGCAGCGCCCAGCCGGGAGCATGCTGAGCCCCAAGATCAGGCAGGCCCGGAGAGGTGAGTGCGCGACCCCCGCGGGGTGGGGACGGGGACCGGCTGCTGCCCGGGGAAACTTCGCGGTGGTGGCGGCGGAGAGCCCCGGCGCTGCCCGCGGAGTGCCCCCGCCGCGGCTGCGGGGGCTGCTGCCCCGCTGGCCGAAACCTGCCCTGGGGAGGAGTGACTGATCGGGGAGAATGCAGCCTAGGAGGAGGAGGAGACCTGTGTTGGTGTTCACCGGCGTGGTCTGCAATGTCTGGGCTAAACAGCACCATTAATTAAAAAAAAAAATAGTACTCTGTCCTGAGACTCGACGTCGCCTTTTCATCCCCTTACCTGAGACTCGACGTCGCCTTTTCATCCCCTTACCAGTTGCTAATGCTGTGTTTCTAACGCTGAGTTCATTCCAACGGCTGGAGACAGGTGTGTCTAGTTTACCTGCAGCATCTTGAGAAGCAGTTTGCTGTAGTACATTATCTTTGCAGGGCTGGATGCAGGAGGTGGAGATACTCATTCTGTGAGCTGTGGGCAAAACAAAAGGAAGGAAGGAAAACCTGCCCTGGCTTTGCAACAGATGCTTTGAGCAGTCATTCGGAGCTGTGAGGTGTGGTGTGCCATGTTTGTAAAGCAGAGAGCTGGGGCTGGGCACAGCTGTTGTCTCGATGTCAGGTCACCTGGAAGAGATGCTCTGGCAGGGGATGCATTCTGTATCTTCAGAGGCAGCACCAGTTACTCGTTTGACATGGCATTTGGAAGTCATCTTTGCCACTCACAAACTAATGACAGTGTCAGAGGGATCTCTTCCTGCCCACTGGAAACAGATTAATGTCATTTAGGAGCTAAAGCAAACACAGAGAGAGAGAGTATGTAAAGATTAGGGTTTTCTTCAGTCATGCCAGTATTTCAAATAGGAAAGGTATCACTAGTTCTAGCTACTGTGATTCCAGCACAGGTACTTTCAGCCAAATGTCACTGCATCATGTATTGAAAGCCCTATTACGTGATGAACAGTCCTTAAAATACCAACAGCCCATTAAATAGCTGTTAGCATCTTGGAAAGAAGCTTCCTGCCATCTGGAGGTGTCAGGATCAGATATGTACTGCTGCACCCACAGTAAAGTCATAAGTACTTATTTTTCAGTTACACAGGGTTGTAGAAGCTCAGCAAATCTTTTGTAGATGCTGCCTCCTTGCCGTCCCCCTTCTAAGGGAGTCTTTTAATATATGTGTTATCCAGCATTCCTGGTAGCTATTATAGCTCTGATGAGACAAGCTAGGTGATGCTGCTAAGGTTGTACAGGAAGGCTGTGTCATGCTTGCCATTCTTCCACTCTCTTCAAATCACCTGGAAGAGACTTATTTGTGTATTAATATGTATTGAAATGTAGTTATGGGACAGACATTCTACATTCCTAGGGCCTACTGATACTCAGGGGACAAGCTATAGTGTCCCTTTGTGATTCAATTTCAATTTATAGCAGTATGTGTCATTCTGTCTCTGTTTGTTCTGATTGATTCATTACCTGTGCACAGGGAAGTTTATTTCTGAATTAAGAACTCGAAAAGAGCTAGGACTCTGGGAAGTTTCTGACTTTTGCAATTCTGTGGCAGAGCACTGCTAACCCTTGGTAACTTGGCAAAGTTTACCAAGTAGGACCTAATCCTGAAAGGTTTTCTGTAGCTCTTGTTCACAGGAACTGTAAAAAGGCCATGCTGGAGATGCTGAATGGCTCTTTAAGGTAAGTGTCTCACCTTGCAAGACTGAGCTGAATAGGAAATGGCAGTTTGTGCTCCCTGAAGTCTCAGTTGGGGGTGCTAATGAGAATTCAGGTGAAAAACAGTGGACCAGCAAAGTATTCAGAAGGCTGTGCAAATGTTCTGCGTACAGCGAGCATCAACAAGGGCAGTTATCTGCTGCAAGCTGCTGCTTGAGTTTGGCTGACTTTTCAGATTAGTGGCTGTCAGCTCTGCCATTGGGACTTGTGGAAGGGAAGTAATGTGAGCAGACAGATTGAAGAGAAGGGACAAGGAGGGATACTCAGGTATCTTGAGTATCTGTGGTTTTACTTGAGTGTGGCAGAAGGCAGCTATGTGCTGAACCTAGGGATGTTCCTGTATTTACAGAGTTCTTGAGGTTCAAACCCCAATATGTGTGTTTGGCTAGCTAGCTCTTTGCTTCAGGCTTCCCACATTTGTGCAAACAGGAATGCTTCATCAATTTCTTTTTTATTTCCAATTCTCTGCTGAGAATGTGCCTTTAAACATGGAGTTGTGATGTCTGATGCTGTCATTTTTGTTTGACTTGCAGTCCTTAAGAAAGCTCCTGTGTTTAAAGATATTCAGACTTTTGAAAATGCCTGCTCTGGACTTGGGCCTGACATCCAGGGGGTAGTTCCTAATGTCTGTGAAAGGGACAGTAGAGAACAAAGATAATTTGCCTTACTAAAAGTAACTATCATCTATAAGGCAGCCCTTGCTGTTCCACCAGCAGCTTCACATCTGTAATTCTGAAATGTGCATTCAGAGGTACATATTCTTTCCATAAGATCTAGGAAGGTGTAAAATCTCACAGATGGAAAATCTTAATGTGAATAAATGGGCATTCTGGGAAGTCATTTATTCTGGCTGGGCCTGAATGGATTTTGCATTATTTTTTCATCTGTAGGGGTTCATGTACAGCAATTGGTGGAGTCCAGGATCCCTAAATAAGTAGCTGCAATGGAAAACATCTATTTTCACTTTCTTCTTATGTGGTAGGGTAGAAAAATAAAGCCTTGCAGAGTGGGAGGAAGAGAACTTTCTGTATAGATTAGATGTAAGGCAATTTTCAGACTACATCCTTCAGTCTCAATGGATGCATTTTTGTTTAATTGTTTTTAAGAGATTAAAAAAAAACCATTTGATCCTTGGCTTGAAAAGTCCCAAAAAGGTTGCTAGCCCAGTTGCATTTAAATGTGCTAGAAAATGGAAGTTGGACTGGCTGCAGGCTTATGCATTTGTATTTTGAGTGATGTGATTGCCCTCTATAGAAAGAGAGTTAGCCTGCTGCCATCATATATAATTTACAGTATTCCTGTCTTCAGCACAATGTGTCTCAATTGTAGAGGCACTAAGAATAGAAGGCACCCTTCTCCCCTTATTAGTCTTTGTACTTTTGGGTGACACTATGACCTATTATTTCTGTTTGTGACATGCTCAAACATATGTTAAAAATTTTCCCTAGAGTCATAATAATAAAACTTTCTTTGGTGTGTTTTATTTAAAACTTAGAGTCTAGAAAAAGTGATGGAAGACATTGAGGGTAGTTAGGCTGGTACAAATATATCCACTGATATTCTTCACATGCCTGTAGTGGAACAGTTATTTCCCTCCTGGTGTGTGAAGAGCCATCCTTTCACCAGCCAGTGAAAGATGGAAAAGGGAGCTCTCCTTTGTCTAGTGGCCCTCGCCAAGTGCCAGCCCAGCACCAGGGCAGCCCTGGTGCCTGCACAGCCCCAGGTCAGCTCTGGTTAGAGGGACTGGAGCAGTGCACAGCTACCCCAGAGCATGTGGGAGCCCAGCGCCCTGGCACCTCCAGCCTGCCAGGCAAATGGGAACACCCAGTTTCCCAATCCTGGAACCAAGGTAAACAGCCCTGGAGCTGCGAGCTCCTGCAAACACTTCCTTCAGCCCTGGGAGCCCACCAGCATTGCTGGGAGCACAGGAGGCCTGGGTGGGAGCAATCAGAGTGGCTGGTGCAGCTGGCAGAGCAGAGCCACCATTAATGAGGAGCCCACCTGTGAGAGGGCAGTTCACTGCCCCACATCCTCACGTGGCTGAGCCTGTAAGGTGGGAGAGGCAGTTTGGGAGCTCTCCTCTGGAAAGGTATGTGGGTGAAAGGCAAGAGTGAGGTGTTGGTAAGTATAGTTAGGTTTGTGTTCCAGTTTGGTGGAGGAAGACATCTCTGAGATGGTAGGGAGCAGGAGCAGGTGGTAGGGCTGCCCGCAGCATGAGCCTGGGTTTTGTCATGTTTGCTTTGGAGGAGGTTGAGATGAAACTGCTGAGTTTAACTTAAAATCCTAAGGCAGGAGTACAGGGGCTGTGGAGGGAGTCATTGGCGCAGCATTGGATAAAGTGCCCTGAAGGCAGTGTGAAGAAATAGGACCAGACTAAGGGGTAAAGGAAGGGACAAGTAAACTATGAGAGTCCCTTCTCACTGTGTGCAGCCCTAGGGAGGTGAATGAAGCATGGAGTAACTTTTGTTCTGTGGTACAGTCAGGCTCCTAGCACTGAGCTGCTCTGGTGCAGGGGTGTGTGGCTGTGACCTGTGTTATGAGCTCTGGGCTCTAATTGGTTTTTTTGTCTCTGTCCTGATTCAGTGGCCGTGTGCACATAGAGACAGGGTCAAGAAAGTGATGTTTGTGGGATTTCTCCAGAGGCAGGTTCACGTTCTCACCCTTACTTGGTGGCATGTCCCATGAAGAAGGATGTGAGTTGTTCAACGGTGAAATCGTCTTATCTCTGTACAATATGCCTCTCCAACTGGATTCATGGTGTATGCTGGAGTAATTGCTACTCTTGGCAATAGCAGCTTTCTATCCCTGCCTGAAGGCTCAGGCAGGCAGTGATTCTCCTTAGAAAAAGCCCTGAAAAGTTCGCAGGCAGGCACCAGCTTATTAAGCACAGGCAATCTGAATTTGAAATAATGAACCATGGCCTCACCTCCTGGGGAGGGAAAGAGGCATTGAGAAAGAACAGTAATTCAGCTCTAAGGGTAGCTGGGGAGAGTGCTTGTGGGGAGGGAATTAAATATTAAAAAATCACAAAGTCATAGGCTCTCTGATTACTAATAGAACATCACTGAGGGAGTACAGGGTGAAACTGTCAGTCTGTGTGTAAATAGCACAGTGGAAGGGCTACAAATGCTAGCACCTCTCTCCTGAGAGGACAGTCACCTGCACTTCCACCACCTGTATAAATGTATTGCTCTTCATTGTAAAATTAGTACCAGAATTACTTTTTTTCCTTGCTGGCTTTCTCCTTACATTTATATAAGGTAAATGATAGGCAAGCACAGCAGCATAAACAACCTCATTTGTTTCCTTCAGCTCCCTGCAGTATGGGCAGGGGTAGTTTGATGTAAGGTTCACTGGTGGGAAAGGGAAACGCCTTTGTGAGGCTGCAGTGTGAGCTGTCTGCTGAGCTGGAAGAGGAAAGGATCTGTGCCCAGACTCTGCCCAGGCCTGCACATATTTAAGTACTTAAGACTAACGTGGGGGAGGGAGGGTCCTTTGACAGTCTTTCTACCAGGTATTCCTTCCACAGGAAGGAATTCTGTGCATCCTTTGTGCCCAATGAGTTGTAAATTAGCATTTATCAAGATCTCTAAAGAGAGGAGATACTAGTTTTTTGCTGTGGTTGAAAGTTACTTGTAATATCCTTCCTCTTAAAAGCAGGTGTTAAGAATTTTTTTGTTCACTGTCATCCTGTGAACTGGTATTGAAGTTAAACCAACTTGTGGTATAAGAAATAAAGGATAAAGAAGCTGCATATGTTGTTTCTAAAGTGAGAACTGATTATGTTGCCTGGGAAGGGAATGGGTTGCTCATGGTCTCTTTGGAAGAACTGTAGGCACAGGGTTACTACTTACTCCTTTGCAGAGCTCCAGTTTAGGAGGAGCCACCTTTGTTTTATCAACCAGTGATGTCACAAGTACTTATGGCTTAATAATCTGAGTACTTAGATTCAGAGTATGAATTAATGCAGGAGTAAGAATTCCTATATTTCTTCTGCCCTTGTCTCCCTGATCAACCCCGGTAGTGCAGCAAGTCACTTATTCAGCTGTTGCACACAGTAGGAAGCAGGATTTGTTTGCACGTTAAAAACAGGTACAGCAGTGTTGAAATAGGCACACTGAGCTCTTGGTTATGCCCTAAAAAGCAGGGTAGGAATGAAGATCATCCTGACCTTTGGACGACTGAAAGAAGAGAAATACAATGTTGTGGCTGAATTCAGGGAAGTTTATTGCTGAAAGTGGCTGGGTTCTGGTATCAGTTCATCTTATGGCTGGTAAAAGGCCTTGAAAGAGTTTTCTCTACTCTAGATCCTTTTTTTTTTTTTTTCAGTTCAGAATAATTTTGGAAAATTACATCCCCTGGAGTGGGGTGGACAAATTTCTTTGGTGCTTATAACATAAATTTTAGGAGCCATTGATGCTGGCAGCCACTGTCTGAGGAGTATGGCCCATGTGCTTGGCATGGCACAGACAGTGTTTAACAAAAGCATGTGGGTGACCAGAGTGCCTCTGAGGAGCCTGAGTTTTCACACTGCAGTGGAGCTATGCCTATGCTGCATCTGTAGTGCTGCAGAGATACAATTTTTCATCAGGACTCCACAGTATTTGGTTCTGTACAAGCTCAGGCCACAGTCCCAGCTCCAAACTGAATGTTACTGTAGTCAGCATTTTTTTGTTTGTTCCTTAATCTACTGTGACTGGGAAGATTTTTAAAAATTAATAGCCATAGCCATTGGGAGGATTACAAGGAGTTGTTTCTGATTGCAGAAGGAGTTCAAGGTATTTGTTCAGTCTTCCTCCTCTGACCTGATTTGACTCACTAAAACACCAGGAAGAAAAAATATCTTAGAACTTTCTACTGTTCCAGTGAGCAACTATTCTTATAAAAAGGTCTCACCTTGTCAGTGTAGGAATGTAAGGCTGGGTGTATTGGCAGATGGAAAGAGCAGAATGGAAGAAGGAAGAAAGGAATAAGTGTTTTTCCTTCTGGCAGGGGTGAGCTGTAGCTCAGTGTGGTTGTCAGTGGGGTTACAAGAGCTGTGCCAGCAGCAGAGATGCCTTCAGCGGTGTGGGATATGCAGGTCTCTTGTCAGGTATGCAGCTCCAGCCAACCAGATAGAGAACATGTACAGCTTCCTAGAGATAGTGCCAGGGTTCAGTGGGAGTGGAGAGCTGGTCCTTGGGTGTGCTGGATAACGTTGTAGTCACAGTGTCTAACAGGTGTGCCATGTGCTTTAAAGCAACACATCCAATAGCTGTGACCTGAGTGCTGCTCTGTCCCTTGAACAGTCTACAGTGGATCCAGGTGGGAGATCTCAGAGGATAGTGCAGATAAAGGGACTTTAAAATATGATCTTTTTCTGGGAGCAGCTTCTGTGCTTGTTCATGTATTGTCAAAATGGTCTGTAACTCTGGTTTTGCAATAACAAAGGATGTGGGCTATTTCACTTTACTAGATTGTAAATTGTTAGGTCAATCTGTTGTAGCAGAAAGAATTAAGTCATTATCCTTCCATCTTGGCACTTATCCATGATCTAATGCTAGTGTTTTGAAAAGACTGGCATGGTTATGTGGATTTGCAGGACAGTTTCAAGAACAGCTGGTGGCAGGTTATTTACCTACAGTATTTAAGGTTTGTTCATTGGCAGGTGTCAAAATCACCACACATTCCTACAGCTTGAAGCTGTAACTCCAATTCTTTTGCAAATGAAAGGTTAAACTCATTTATAATTATTCTGTGGAATTAAGACCTGCTGGCCTTCTTGCTGATAGTGATAGCAAAGTTCAGGACTGAAGTTCAGGATTACTTTGTACAATAGCTGAAAGGTCTCCAGTGTGAAATGTCAACCAACAAAGCAATGTCCCTTTACCTGTATGACAGCAATGGATTGCCAAACTCCATTTTCATTTTCCATCCTTTTCCTGAAGTCCAGCATGCCAACAATTTGTAATAATAGTTTGAAGATGAATGTTCTTCAGGAGAAAAGGATTAACTTATCCCACTGACTATATGTTTTGGGTTGGGTTTTTTGGGGATTTTTTTGGATTGTGTGGGGTGGATTGCATTGATTATCAAATATACTT